ACTATATGGTTAGACAGCAGATTTCTAAGGTTTTCAGGCCCAAGCACAATAACTTCGGTTTTGTCAGAGTTTAGAAGTAAGAAGTTGCAGGTCATCCAGGCCTTTATGTCTTTAAGACATGCTTGAAGTTTGACCAGCTGATCTGATTCATTTGGCTTCATAGATAAATATAACTGAGTATCATCTGCATAGCAATGGAAATTTATGTTGTGCTTCCTGATAATATTGCCTAAAGGGAGCATGTATAAAGTGAAGAGAATTGGACCTAACACAGAGCCCTGTGGAACGCCGTGACTGACTTCAGTTTGTGTGGAACATTCATCATTAACATGAACAAATTGAAATCTTTCTGATAAATAAGATTTGAACCAACTTAGCGCAGTTCCTTTAATATTCATGTAGATGCTGACAATGACAGCCTCAACAATGCATTCTGTTCATTATTAGACTCAGTTGGCTTCTCTCAAACTGCAACTAAACCCACTCACTGTTTTAATCACACTCTTGATCTTGTTCTGACATATGGCATCGAAACTGAACACTTAATAGTTTTTCCCCATAACCCTCTTCTGTCTGACCATTTTCTAATAACTTTTGAATTTCCATTAAAGTCACCTACTATGATTATTTTATCTGTACTAAGCACTAAATCAGACAGAAAGTCTGAGAATTATGTTCTGGTTGTGCGTCATACTGCAACAACATTTACACAAATTATAATTAATCACAGCAAAGTATTTGAAAGTTAACCTCACTTTTGTTTTACTGTAGTATAATATGCAGGTGATACTCCATATGTAGCAAGTTTGAAAACAGGTTCAGGCATGTCTATAGTTGTAAAATCTCTGAAATGCATTTGTTCTTTGTTCTCTCCTTAGGCCCCTTCATGACGCAGTAGCAAGTGATAATCTTCCAGTAGTCTGGTTGCTTCTGAACCACGGTGCGGACCCAACCCTGGCCACCTACTCTGGACACACACCTGTCAAACTGGCACATAGTCCGAGCATGAAGACCTTCCTCACAGGTAGTTCAGGCTTCCTTTTTTTGCCTTCTTTTTCAATTTGGATAAATAGACATATTTCCAAATTGGTAGTGTTGTTTTACCTCAGGCTAAATGGCTAAATGTATTTTTCACATCAACAAACGCTCAAGACACAAGAAGCAACACAGCGTTAAGGTTATAATAAAGCTAATTGAAATAAGACATGAAAATCAATAATAAAATTTGTATTTGCCAAATTTACAGTTACCCATCAAGTATATGTCAACACATTAATAAGCTCTGTGTCCACTCCCACTACATCACTTTTGACACAGTGAGCAATAAACAGTACAGGTTACATGCAGCACACAGGAGAAATACACAACAAAATCTTTAATCCCCAGGGTGTGAAAATAACTGACAGCTATCTGCTGTTGGACCTGTGACTCAGACTGTTTTGTTGCCTTGTAGCTGAGCCTGGTTGTCCAAAATACTGCACCAGTAAAAGGAAACAATTGGTGTTATTGCTGGCAATTAGTAATTTATTAGCTCAAGAATATATTAACTAGCAGTAAAGAATGCTGGTGTGACAGTATTTGTTCATCCCTGAGCTCTAAAGATGAAAATATTTAAGCCAGCTTGAGACCAACTCTGCCTCTTTGCTATGTAATGTTTCATGCCATGTTGATGATGGCGACCAGTTTTAAGGATCTGTTCCCTTCGTGGAGCTTTGAAGGGTGATAAAACAGTCAACAGCAAACAGTTCACTTCTGCTGGTTTCTTTCACTGCTGACTTTGCTGCAGTGTGAGTGTTTTAGTGTTACGCTGTGCACGGTGGCAACAGCACACACATGCAGCTTCACTTTCTATTGACAGGGCTGTATCACAAAGACAAACTGTGGCTTTAGTTATCTGTGATCTGATGCTCGGTACTGATATTTGAATTGTCTGTTATTTTGTTGGGACAATGTCGGAGCTGTCCCACTTGTGACATTTTGCTTGGTCACACAATGTAGATCTAGTACTCATCACATACAAACTTTCTAAGCAGGTCAAAATATAATATAAGGTGCTCCCTGTTGTTTTCAGAATATTTCACAGACCTGGAAGGCCGCAGTGAACTGGATCCCTGTTTAGCCTGGGAGTTCTACAGCAGCTCCCTGTTTGGTAAGCTAGCTGAAAATATCTTACACTTGTACAGACTGATATTTTACAGCAGGTTTAAATCACTAAAGCTGTTTTCACACATGAACTCCAGACTATGGCCTGGGTAGAGCACGCAGGAGCCAAGACATGATGCGGTCACAGCTTGTAGGTTTAGTCATAACAAAACGTCTTCTGCTGTACCTTATATGTGTCTGATGAATTCGGTGCCGGCTCTTAAGGACAGAAGTTCCCTAATCTCGTCTTGTCTCCAGTTAGATATTTTTGTTGGTGTCTTCAGTGTAAATGACCACTTCTCTTCACTATCAGATGTTTGTTTTCTTCTGGTTTTGCACCTTCATATGATAAAATGTCATCCATACATCAACACGCCCACTAACTCTTTGTGCATACTGTGGACTATACGCTGCTGTTTTCTCACATGGACTCACTCCGGCTCGTTTGGACGTCACACGGCCTTTGTACTAGGTAGCTGGCAGGTTGAAGTCTGCTTAATGTCCGGGTCACATACAGCTCCTACAGATAGATAGATAGATAGATAGATAGATAGATAGATAACCTTTATTGTCTTTGTATGAATACGAAATTACTTGGTGTTGTAAACCTATATTCTTCTGAGGAGGTTCATCACGCTTGCCATGGGTTTAACACATTTCATATCAACAATCCCAAAGTGGGATCATACTCAATGACGAGAAATCATTTTATAATGTTTTCAGCCATCCGGCCACGTTTCATGTCACTCATAGTACAGGCTGCATGTCCAGTTTTGCCTTTATAGTATTACATTCTCATTCATTCATTACATTCTTTGCTCCCTAAAAAATATTTTTATTAAAGATGCCAGATTCTTCCCATTCACGTTATTCTGTTTGTTAATGTAGCATATATTTCTGTAAAATGTGTATCATTTAATAGTAAACAATCCATCATGCAATTAACTTCAGTCAGTTATATGTGTGTATTACTGCTGGTGGGAATAGACTGTCCACTAGGGGGCATCCTAGCCCTGTCTAATAAGCAGCTCAGCCAGTGCAGATGCAGCCAGTTCGTCCTGTTTGTTCTCACTTCAGTGAACTTTTCTTCACAGAGACCGACCAGGAGCCGTGCTGGGACTTCCTGTTGTCTGAGCAGAATCAGGAGCTGGAGGAGAATGTAATGGGGATGACTGAGCGGGACTCGGACAAAGACTGCCTTCTGTTTGAGTTCTCCGACGAGCCTCTCCTACCCTGTTATCATGTTCAGGTGTCATTAACCCAGGGGTGAGTGCACAAAGCGACATCATGTCCATAAGATGGAGGGATGGATAGAAATCAGTCAAAGGCAAAGACCTGCACAAACCTTGAAATTTATTTTAATGTGTAAAAGATTGTAATCTGGATTTTCATCCAAATATTCAGTAATTGCTCATTACTCCACGACTGCAAAGTTTTTGAAATGAACTCTCTAATCTTATTAATGTTAATCAGGATAATAGCTAGTTATTTTACCACATAGCTCTAACTCTACTACATGTTCACTGAGCTTGATTACTTGGCTGAAGGAAGTTTCAAGTTTGCCAGATTTCTTTTCATACTCGTTAGCAAAAAACTCGGTGTATTATTAGAAAACGATTAGCTGTCATTTAAAGTATACAGTTTGTGAGTTGCCTTTAATGGTCTAAAACATGTTAAAACCACCGGTGTGATCCTTTATACACTAAAGATACGTAAAACAGTGGGATTAAAAAGGGCAATTCCTTTCTGTTTTAGGGTGTATTGTTTTGTTTTTGGTTCTTTTTCCTCTCCCACCAACCTATGGCTTATGTCAGACATTTCTCTCTTGTAGCTTCTGTAACTGGTTTCTACTGACTGATGTTCTGAAGCGTCTGAAGATGTCAGCGCGGATCTTCCGAGCACGTTATCCACACATGGAAGTGGTGAGTGTGTCGCGGGCTGAGCTCTGGAGGCAGGTATCAGTCAGCCAGGTGAGCGCCGCTTTAGCCTCACCCTACAGAGGCAAAATCAAGGAGGAGGAGGAGGAGGAGAAGGAGGAGGATGAAGAGGGACTTGTGGATCTGGTGCACTGTGTACCAGAACTCCAAAGACTACTGGGCTCCTCTATTCACATCCTACAAGAGGACGAGGAGGAAGAGGAGGAGAAGGAAGAGACGCTGACAAAGACAGGGAAGCCTTGCGGCCGATAGCCTCTGCATCGCATCCCTCCACCATGAAGTTTCTAATGTGTCAGCCCAAGTTCCTCCTGCAAGCAGCAGCTCAAAGGAAACCTCTCCATCCATTGTAACGAGGATCATGGGTTTTAACTCCAGCTAGAGACCGATAACCTTTGACCTCAGACAGAAGGTGATTAAGTGATCACAAGGACGTGCACACGGGAGTGGTCATTGCTGGGAAGCAGCTTTCAGGTTCCTATCTATAGGTATATTTGAATACATGAAAACTATTGAGCAGACCTTTTTTATTGATTATGTATGTACCTGTACATGGTAGTGTATATGTATATCTTGCCATCAGGGTTAACACATTTGGTTATATAAATCTATTATTGTGGCAAGGTGTGGATTAAGTTTAGGACTTTTTGTTTGATTTTGTTCCTGAGGGAAAGCGTTATTTTCCAATGGGAGATAATCCAAGGCTTTTTCTCTTGGTGAACTCTTATGTAAACCTAAGACGCTTAAGTCAGGGAGGCCATTGGCCCAGATGGTTTCTCTGTCAACCTGGGAGACCCGGAGACCTGCAGAGGAGAGACCACAGCACATACTAATCAAACACTCACCCACCCAGCTCAGAGCCTCATTTCAATTTCCTCCTTTCTTTCAGTTTTCAAGAGATCATCACTGGATGGACCCCAACAGCTTAGGTTGTTTATTTCCCTTTGTATTTCACAAAGTCAGCCAGCACAGCACTCACCTGTACTGGTTCCTACTCGTAGTATGAAATGATTTGGAGCTTGACACAGAGCTTGTTTACAGAACTGGACAGACAGCAGTGGTCTCCACTCTCCAGGTCGCACTCCTCATGAACTGATGCAGATTCCTGTGGATCTCCCTCTGAGAAAAAGCTGTACCATCTCTGGAGACCGGAGCCTCCTCCCGTGTCCGAGGACCCGCGATGCCCTCGTAACTGCAGCCACGGCCGTCCCCCATCTCCCCATACGGTGTTTCCAGATCCCAGAGTGCTTTGTGTTGCAGTGTTTTATTTACACTGTTTGTTGTGCTTAATTTAATAGTCATTAATATATTTGACCTCTTGTGTATCTGACAAGTCTATCTATGAAACAGTTGCTTTGTATGGTTGGTGCTTCATTTTGAAATGTACTGGTTAGGATCCCTTTATTCTAAGATTTTCCTCCCTCCATTCAAAAAGGCAAAAGTACAGTTTTATTGTACTGGTGCTAAGATAGATTTTGTGTTGACAATCAGTGAAGTTTTGGTTTGAGGTCACAAGTTAATAAAAGATATTTAAGATGAAAAGAAAAGTATAGTTTAGTTAAAGAAATGGGATACAGCAAGACTGAACGACTGAGCAGTGTGTGAGATCTTGACAGAGCCTTTTATTTGATTCTTTTATAAGAAATCAAGAATAAAGCATGATTGTGAATCATAGTTTTATCTCTTGCCACTTTTATCTTTTGCTACTTAGATTATTATAATGAACAAAATGTTCAGAGTAAGATTCTCCTTTAGGCATGCTGCAAATGATCCTTTTGGCCTCATTTTACTGAATAAATCTTTTTTTAAATGACAGAATTTGTCCCTCAGCGATAAAGTACAAAGAACAATAACACTGATCTGTGCTGAGGAAAACCCTGAGGAAGCTCCGTCACTTATCTTTGGCCTCACTTGTCCTGGAGCTTTTGACCACATCACACAGTCTGTATCACAGATTGTTCTGTTCTGTTTCCAAGAATGAACTGACAAGCTCAGCTTCTGAAGTGGGAATATGTGACTTATAGAGAAAGAATTAAATGTTCCTCTTATAAATGAGTGGTTGAATTCTACAGTACTGCCAGTAGTGTTGCTACTTCAGCTTTACTTTTTCCCTTAAGACCAGTAGCTTACAATGGCTGAAGCTAAATTTGTTTACATAGGTGTTGCTGACAGTACTGAGTCTGTACATTTGCTTTATGGCCCCTCATTAGTTGTGCTACTGCTGACTGTTTTAGTATTTAGCATCATCAAGTGTCAGCGTCCTGACAACGGAGCAAACAATCAGCCGATTAAGATTGTGTTCGATAGTACTGTCACGGGCTCCAAACAGGTAACTGGACCCTGAGTTGAGTTTGTTTTGGAAACTGATGTTTCCAAGGTCCAGAATAAACTGTCAGGCTCAGGACTGTGAGGGTTTAAGTGAACAAAGAGTCAGAAAGTAGTCCAATCAGAGCCTAAAAACAACAGATTTAAGTTAACTTTGCAAAGGTGTTTGGGTGTGTATATGATATTATGTGAAGCTTAAAGAAAAATAATGATTGTAATAGAAAAAAGGCTTAATTGTAGCTGGAAAAAAAAGTTTTTGACAGTCATCGGTTATTAGTTATCAGTCATTTGCAGTCCTACTACTTAGATGAGACGGTCTAATTTATCAGAATATGGCCGACCTTATCCTTGGTGGAAACCCCGAATAGACACAACTGACCCAAGACAATTTTCACCAACACAATTAAATAAAATGTTGCTCAAGTTGGCAGAAAAAAAAGCCACCTAATGTGACAACCATATGGCCTGACTTTATTTTATCCACTAGAGGGAAGCAAAACAACAAAGATTCAGCTATGTAAATGATGCTGTCGGAGCCTCATGCAGATAAATAACTGAACCAAATGCCCCGAAGTAGCATCATGTGAGACATACAGTGTTGTAGTCAAGTCACTGAACCTCGAGTCCGAGTACATTCTCGCATCCCTGTTGTTTGAGTCAAGTCCAAGTCACCAAAGAATAATCTGAGTTGAGTCCCCGTTACCAGAGTCCGAGTTATCAAGGTCAACATTAAGTCCAGATGCAGTCAACGCTTGAGTCCGAGTCATCAAGTCCAAGTTGAGTCACAAGTCCTGAAAATCTGGACTCAAGTCCGACTCCTGGACCCGAGTGGTACAACACTGGAAACATGTTAGAGCTTCTGTTCAGCCTTTCTAGCAGCCCTTTACATTTGCACAGTCTCTCCAACCATCCATTTTCAAAATTTTGCTATCCACAAATATTTCTCACGTTAGTTTCTTAAAATTTAACATTATTACCCTTTACAATAACAGAACATACAGTATGTTTCAGTGATACTACTGTACTCAAAGTATGCTTAAAAATGACAAAACTAATTGCTAATAAAGTTACATCTTCAATTTTCCATCTTAAATTACTGGATAAAATGAGCCATTAAAAGTTCGGCTGTCTGAGCCATGATGATATACAGTAATATGACCTTTTCCCAGGAGCATATGGGCCTCTGTTTGATGTCTCAGTTTGACACTGAAACACCAGGTTGTTTCATTGTACCAAAACCTGACATACCAGTCACCCCTGGCGGGGCCCTGTGCTACAGATGGTCCTGGCCACAGTGCAACCTGTACAGCCGCCCTGAGGTCATTCGGGTTCATCCACTTCTTCCTCCCAGCAGTGACACCACATGGCTGCTTCTGGATTTAAGACATTTAATGCTGAGTTTCATGTAGATTTATATTTGTTGAAGGTTTTTATAATCTAATTATATATAAAGAGTTGAATCTAAAACACATAAAACTACTTTAGCTTTTGGTGTTCAAGTGTCAGAGGTTGTTTTTGTGGTCGACTTTATCCAGATGGTTCAAGCTGTTCAAAGTGAAGGGATCGTGTTTCTGAGGGTTTCAGGAGTCTTGGGAAATTCTGACTCTCCAGTAAATCAAGGCTCATTACGTCATACATGTAGCTCTCATCCACCCTCATCACCAAGCCCCTGTCATGCCTTGCTGCTTATTGGCCTTCTGTTGTAGGGCATCAGCGTCTGATTGGTTCAAAATGAGGGCAAGTCTGCACAAGATAGACTGACAGAGGGGACAGGAGGCCAGCATGTGGAGATTTACTGTTCTTATATGGAGATGGAGACACAAAGAAACACGAGGGAAAGTTAGATTCAGCACAAAATACCTGATGCATAAATGTCAATTTATAAGTGAGTGGGATGGGGAATCTTTGTATTTCATGTAACCAAAACCCTTATTTTGCTTCTTTTCACAGAATCTTTCAATAAATCTAAATCTTGCCTCTAATCTACACATGCCGCACGTGCCCTTCAAAAGTCTTCAGGCTGTTAACAATTATTTTGCACCCCTATGTATATTATCTGTTATGAAAATTTGCTACTCTAAATGCCTCTTACATTACCATAGGTTAACTGAGGGCATCTGTTGTCTCAGTTGAGAGTAATTATCTTGAGTTATGTAACAGCCCTCTTGAAAAAACAGACAAACACAAAAGGGGGAAGTCCTGCTCTAAAGCTTCAGCTCCCAGTGAAAACAGCTTAGTGCACTGCTCTATCAGCTGCTGACCAGAATCCTAAACATGCAAGAATAAATGCTTTAATCTGTCCGAACGGTCTTTTGGATGCTTGGAGAATGTTTTAGTGCTTGAGACAGATCAAACTTGTCTTCATCCTGTGAGACTACACAGGGCTCTTTTGTTATGATCAGCAAGATTTAGATGACTGCGTTCTCTCTCCACAGCTAGTGGAGTGTCTGCAGGAGTCTGGAGTGTGTCTGCAGATATGGCTCTGGATTCAAACATACTGATAAATCATACAAGCCACAATACATCTTTGAAATAACACTACATGTGGGTGTTACCTGTACTTTTGTATGTGTTAACATGCAGACATGCTGAATCTGCTATATCTGACTTGATGTTCACACATCCAAATATAACCACAGGAGGTACTGCCCCTGGGTATGTTGCAAAGTTGTTGACCTTGTCCAGACGTCTGAGTTAGCTTCTGTGTTCAGCCGACATTTACGCCAGTTGGTATGTGCCTAGGAAACCCAGTCACCCAGACACACTAATGAAATCTGGTTCAAATTAAGAAATTGCACTTTGCATATCTAGCTACACAAAGGTCAAATAAACTAGAGCAGGCCTACAAGCAAACACTGTAAAAAGACAAATGTCTTAAAATGTACATTTATGCATTTTAAATAATAATTTTATATATTCACTATACAACAGTATGAACCCTCACATTGAACAGCTACAGCAAACTGCTTCCATGTAATGCATTATTAATAGCCCAAATATAGGATATATAAAAATAAAATATTCCATATGACTACTTTTACTTTTGATATTGTATATTGTAGGGTTTTTTTTATTGGAGTAAAGTACCTGAATATTTCTTCCACAACAAGTGTAATTATTTTACACACATGACTACTTTTACTTTTGATACTGTATTTTGTAGTTTTTTTATTGGAGTAAAGTACCTGAATATTTCTTCCACAACAAGTGTTATTATTTTACTTTTTCTCTTCATTTATCAGCCTTTATAGTGATGATTCTTTACTGAAAAGAAAAATTCACATACAAGACACTCAGACAACTTCTAAAACGTGATGCATTGATATGTATTAAACTATGCAATGTAACACTATGAACAGGATCAATATATAATGAGTGCCTATATACTTTAAGCATATTTTGCTGATACTAATATGATTTTACTTAAAATTTACATACAAAATATTTCGTTGTAATAGTATTTTTACTTTTGGTCTCAAATAAAGGCTACCACCACTGAATAAGGTTCAGAGGAAAATTACAAGACAAACATATGATACACTGATCAAACCCTGTCCCTACTCCATACTTGTATGCATGACTAAAGGTTGCACTGACACACAAAGCGACAGGGTTTATACTGTGTGTGTATGTGTGCAGCAGACGAGGCTGGGCCGGGACAATTGTTCACCCTGAGAGACACTTTGTGTCAGGCTGTAAACTGCTGCAGTTGGACTCCACACACACTTGCAACTTATATAACCTCACACATTCTTGCTCTATATGTTCTGCCTGTACCGTACTGCTTGTGGTGTGGAGTTCACCAGCAAATGGCAGAGTGACATACTCTGAGGGTTGCAACAGTGCCACCACAGATTGGTGGGTTTCCTCTGTGAAAAACTAAAATAGGCTTTCTTGTCCTCTCAAGTGAATTCAGAGAGGACTACGTTTCACCAGCGAGGAAGGCCTGTTGAACCTAAACAATGCACAGACTGACTCTTCGCCCCAAAAAGAGAGAACACTGATTTTGGATTGCCCCGGGTCCTGCAACATAAAGCCAAGAAAAAACAGAGTTGGAATGGGTTAGAAAAGTCTCCTCCTGTATTAGAACATGATGTTCCCAACGGTACAGCTGCAGCTCCATGCCGACAAGACAAAAGAGCTCAGGCTAAAAAACTGTATTTAAAATCCAATACAAGAGCCAACACACAAGATTCACAGCTGTAATATTTGTGCTTTAATCAAAGGTTAATACAGAGGCCTTGTTCAAATGTTAATATAATAATGCAGGAATAATTACCCCAAAACAGGTCACTGTACAGGCCCAGGGCCCCTGAACAAGCCTCTGGATATGACCTTTTCGAAGAAGTCAATCAAATGAGGCCAAAAGCAACCACAAAGAGAAAACCACAAAGTCTCAGTACCTCATTTCAATGGCACAGACAAAAAAAAACCCACTTGCTCTGTGGTGGCCCCGTGTTTCAGTGCTAAACTCATTCAGATATTATGTGACACATAAGGTTCACATGGAGTGAAAAAATAACAAGGCACAGTTTTTCACTTTCTTGTACATCTGAATGTGTTCAGGAGTTAGATTACGGAGCCAACGCAAAATATTGCTCTGACAAACACTGTACATTATACTGTATGTACTTTCTATTAACTAAGTTATCTGAAAATAAAATGGAACCAGTTTACTGACAGTGTAACCTTATTATATTACGTTATGCATGAGTTATCAATGTAACCCCCACAAAAATAACTTGATTCACAAATGCTTTCTGCGACCATGCTGCTATCATGCTGTTTGGGAGGCAGAGAAATGTTAATAACATTAGCAGTCATGCTAGTTCTCATTATTTCTGCAGCACAAGGCAACATATTGTAAGTCTGAGCTGTGCACAATGATGTGGGCTTGACCATCTTTCACATGAGGTGATTTTACACCACAGCAATGCCTAGCAACGGTACATCCACTACACGCAGGCAACAAGCATCACGTTACAAAACAAACCTGCTTCAACAACAAGGCCAACTGGAAGGGCCCTTCAAGACAAGTTAGCATTGGTGTAATGTATCTACTGCAAGTACATTTACTGAAATATAATTTGAGGTACTTGTACCTCATTATGTTATTTGTGTATTTCCATGGCACTACACTGAAACAAGTTCCCCTGCTGCCTTGAACAACAAAAGACCACACTGAAGGACACTTTCATCTGAAACAAGACACTTAAACAAAACACACAAGTTAAACATCTTTTGTATTGTAACTGAATATAATAATGCAGAAATAGTAACTGAAAAAAATGTTTACTGGAAAGAACACCAACTGACGAATGTGGCTGTATAGAACTAGTGGTGGAAGAAATATTCTTTTACTTAAAGTCTTGGATTTAAAATCTTACTTTACAAAATGTATTTATGTAACATGTACTTCTTCCAGCAAGCCAAAAGCCTGCTGGCCTCTGTAAGCCGCTTACAGTTTCAGATTTGTCTCTGCTGTGAAACATCCTCATTTTAAAGAAAACTATACAGTGACTACACTCAGGTGTTTACTCAGGGAGCAGCGCTGTTGCCATAGGAAAACGCAGAGTGAAACGAGAACGAGGCAAAAAGAAAACAGGAAGTATTGTAGGTCTACCAGGCAGTGTACAGTATTGATACTGTAAGTGCAGATAATGCTGACCCTTAGATGTCATGGTCCAGCACCTGTATCAGGTTAACCTGACCGGTGCCTCATAAAGTAATAATCTCCGCTCTGGTCGTTGTCTGGAGCTTGCAGTCTGTCAGATAGGAGTTTTATAGCTGTTAAGCAACTGACCTGCTGATGAGGGAAGGGGCAGCATGCAGACACTGTCAGTGACTGCCAAGACTAATCACGCAGCCTTATACTGGCAGACAGGGCAGGGCAAAGACCTGCCAACCACACACATTCAAGAGGTCTTTCAACACTTAAATGGCTGCGTGTACTGAAACCTTGCAACATGCGAGTTCACTCCAGCCATGACAAGAATATCTTCATACAGCAGCTCTTTGCAGTCCAGATTTCCATAGATTCATCAGAATAAAATGTATTTGCATTTTGCAGTAAAGTGGACTTTGATACACAGTTTTCTAAATGTCTGCTGTGAATGATGAAACAGCACATCTCCCTTACAACACTGGAGCCATTTCAAATCTGCAGTGTAGCATGCTGACTGAGGTTTCTCAAGACAGAAATGTGAGTGGGGACATGCTGTCGGCAGTTAGAGCTGTATTACAGAATATCAGTGTCATGGCCCAAAGCCCATTGAGAGCTGTTTGGTTGGAAGATGCAGCAAAAAATACAACTTTAAAGTGTACAGTGACCAGCCATAACATTGTGACCACTTGCCTTTTACTCAGTGTGCACCGTCTGTGGTCATGAGAACAAGTAAGAGAACTTTGTACACCAATTCAACAAATGAGGTTTAAAAGTTTAGTCTACAATAGATCAACCTCATCATCAGTGAGCCTTAGGCGTCCATGACCATGTCGCCGGTTCACTGTTTGTCCTTCCTTAGACGCTGTCGGTACTGTAGGTACTGACCACCACAGACTGGAAACACCCAACAAGACCTGCAGTGTAAGAGATGCTCTGACCCAGTCGCCAGCCATCACCATTTGGCCCTTGTCAAAGTCACTAAGATCCTTACTCTAGCTGTTTTTCTCACTTCCAACACAGCAACTTTGAGGACTGAATGTTCACTTGCTGCCTAATATACCTCACACACTGACAGGTGTCAGTGTAATGAGGTCATCAATATTATTCACTTCACCAGTCAGTGGTCATAATGTTATAGCTGATCAGTGTACATCTGAGAACTAATGTTATGGCTGATCAGTGTACATCTGCGAAGATTTGACTCATTTACTGCATGAAATAAATATCTGTCAAAACAAATGTCCTCTCTACATCCAGTTGGTTAGCTTTAGCTTAGAATAAAGTCTGGACACAAAGGAAAGCACCTAGCCTCTGAAGTTGACAAAATCCACCTAGTAGCGCTTCTAAAGCTCAGTAGAGCTCAGAGACAAATAGTCCCCCTGTAAAACGCTAAACTGTTGCTTTATGCTAAGCAAAGCTAACTGGCTGCTAGCTGTAGCATCATATATAATGATGCTACAGAAAATGAATATGTATATTTAGCAAAGTACAAAACTTTGACACACCCACGGTGACGGATTTGACCACTTTGGCAACAAGTGGGAACAATTTGTAAACAAAAAGTAATGATATGTCATTAAGTTAAACTTAGCAAACACATTCATTAATTAAAAAGAAACTACCATTCATTTATAGTAGAGTTGTATTTCTGGCCACCTGAATAGCAAAAGACAGACATTCACTCTCTTTTAGATCTGGTTTTGGTCTCCACCAACTCCTGAGGGAAATATCTGGCTCTTTAGCTGCTCAGTGCTTCTCTCCTCACCAGCTACTTGCTACCTTTGACCGTTTAGAGCTTTTTATCTAAAGACAGCCGCCTGCTGCAGCAGAAAAACACTCTGGCACATTATGAAGACAGATTATAAACTTGGCAATAAATTAAAAGCCTAGTAAATATGTTGATTAGCTTGCTGTAAAGAAAAATAAGTTCTATTCACATTTAATGCCTGGCCAGCTGTCATTGGTTTGGTTGACCCAGTTTATGTGAGTGGGCTGACCAGCACAGCCATTTTGATTTGCAGCCATTTATATGGCCCATTGTGAGTGGAAACAGAGGAAGACTGCAGCTTCTCACCACAGGGCTCATGCAGCACATTTTATGCAAACTCTCTGCCCTCTGTGTCCTCACTACGCCTGGTCAACAGAGGACCAGTCTGTTAGATGTTGGCTGGGTGCTCTTCACAGTACTCTCTTAATCACTGCTGTGCTGCTGAGAAAGAAGGGGCGGGGGGGCCTTTACAATCAGATTGGCTGCTCATGGTGAAGCTGTTGCTAAGGGGAGAGTTTCAATCCAATAGATGTGGCAGCATGTAGGAGAAACCACTTAATATACATCAAGTTAAACTGCAGTGCCATGGTGTTTGTGACAGCAGAAAATTTGTGACTGATTATCTTCAGACTTTCTCTGGAGGTTTTGAAAATCATGTTTTGTGCCAGGGTGCCATTTATAAGTCTATCTCAAAGTCAGTCTTATCACCTTTTATAGCTCAATTCACTTTACAGCTTTTTATTAGCTCTGGTATTATGAAACAATTAGTAAACTAGAATCCAACCAAATTAAGGTGTGAAATTACCACAAATAGTTAGCGGACTGGAGAGACAACACATTTTTACAATACGGACAGAATGGCCTATTAAATTACAGCATTTCTCAACAGCTACTGAAATAGCACAATTAATTTACACTACAAAAATGTTCGTGGCATCAAGCTGCAGTTACAGTGGGAGGAAACCACAGATCTTAGTTTTAGTGCACTTTAAAAAGGACGAACAAGGTGCAAAATCTTGTATTAAAGTGCTGCAACTTGCTTATCAGCACGGTTGACATAAAACAAACAATGACAGGAAAAGCAGTGTTTAACAAGTTGTTTGAAGAGCGCTATGGCCTCATGCAACAACTTGTAGCTCTGGCAAAAGCCACCTCAGTAAATCCCCTTGCCACGCCAGCATTACATGAAGCTGCTCAACAAGTCTAAATAAGATGTCAACTAGTTCATGTCACTGCATGTGAAAATACATCATACATTCTTACTTTACAACACTGTATTCAAGCTTTTAAATGAGCTACTTCAGGGGAAAAAAAAAGGCATCAACTGACAAAGTTTCGGGGATTTTATTTCAACTTAATTGCATTTTTGCATCAATATAAAAATGAGTCTGAAATATCCAAGGACACCAGATGAGCCATGCCACCAGAACACCTTGATATTACCATTTAAGTGGATCAACAGTGGCTACTAATTGAACAGGGCATGAGCGAATGAAAAAAAAAAAAAAAAAAGGCACAGCCTGTTACAGTAACAGTGAATCAATTTAAAAACCTTGCAGGTTAAGAGCCCTTCAGCTCAGTGCTTAAGTGATTTAATTTTTTTGAGAAGGGACAGAATTACCAACATTTAATCTCCTACATTCATCCCTTATTCACAATAACAGTCTGGTGGTAAACTCATGTTCAGGTTTGAAATGAAAAGACAAGAGGCCACGTTTCTGCACAAGCCAGAAGTGTGCTGCATCTGGACTTGGGTACAGACCTAAAACCTCCGCAAAGCACAAAATGTCAGCTGCTACACCCATGGGTATGTAGGCATCACTGGTTTCAGGTCTGTCTGCTGGGGGAAAGCTGGAGTGTTAGACGAGCGTAGTGGTAGCACTAGTCAGTTCTTTGACAGTCGAGATCCATCAGGAGGGGGCCCTTCTCAACATGACCCACTGTGCAAGTCAATCAGTCCATGGTGGAGGGGGTGACAGTAGTGATTTTATCTCATGAAGCTTCCTCCTCCGATTTCTCTCTTGTATCTGTTGGTCAGGTGGTCTGCTTGCAGTGTGAGTTTTGACAGAACCCCAAACAGTCCTCGGAGGTGATAATGGAACTGATGCTCCAGGTCAGAGTTGTCATCCAAGAGCAGATCCCCGGTGACTTGTTCCTTCTCCTCCTGCTTCACAGGAAGCTCTAGGAAACCGGCACCGCTGCTCACCTCCCTCCTCAACAGACCCCACTCCATGTCGTTCTTTATAGACTTGAGCAGCAGGTAGTGCTCGTACATGTCTTTCTGCTTGTTAGGACACTGTAGCTCCTGATTGTTGTTGTTGGCCTCCACCTCGCTGTCCGCCTGCTCCTCCAGCGGCAAGTCTCGCAGCAAGCTCGGCACCATGATGGTCTCATCCATGTTGTTGGCAGCTGCTATGAAGCGGTTCATGACGTTTAGGAGGGAGTGCTTGTTGCTGGCAGAGCCGCTGCTGATCTGCATCATGCCGAAGGCTTTAGATCGGCTTGGGTTGGTACAGTGTAGAGCTGGCAGGTGGGGTTATCGGTGTTTAGAGCTGGCTGATCTGCAAGAGGAAGAGAGGAAACATGAGGACGCTGCAGAAACGCAACAAAGCCAAATCCAGGCCTGGTATAATCCACCACTGAGCATGAATAAAGACAGCCAATTCACAAGCAGTCATAAACCTACTGCTCCAGGAAAAACGAAATCAGCTGAACATAACGTGACTTCTAACACAAACTAGACGGTTAACATCTCGACATGAACAATCACCATTTTGCCGCATTGTAACGCTCGAATCATATCAATACCTTTTACTTCCTGCGACTGAAATCCTAATGAGTATTCCTGAAAGACGCTTTAAATAACGGATGCAAACTAACCTGAACCACGAGGTGACCTAAAGAAAACGTCTCAGGATGTGCTGGTTATATAGTCTTCTCTTGGTCCGCACTCCACTCAATGCTGAGACGGAAACTGAAAATTAACCCAAGTGACTGGCACATGAAGCTTTTATATCACATACGCCGGGTAAGAAAGCAAAAAGACCACCCACCTAGCCTTTTCTACCGAACCAACTGGGCAGCATAAAGAAGTGTAGGCCGACTTAACATCTGATCCGCCACTGACCAATGAGAGCTCAGACCGCAGCTGTCAGTCAGACGCATGCGCACAGGGCTCGTCTGTAATTAGCTGTACCCAATTGACTTCATCTTTTTCCATCCCGTTCGCCTGAAGGCAACCATGATGCAAGAACTGCACAGTCGCAGGTGTACATGCAGGGTGTTTAGTTTTGTTGCCTTTTCCATTAATAATTAATTAACGCCTTGTTTGTTAGTCACATTTCGCTTGCATTTCATGTCTCCAGTCATTTTGTATGTAACAGCTGCCTCACGTGACTGCGACAGAACACTGCCATCTCGTGGTTGGTCGTTCGATTGAGTCACACTGGAGGAAATTACTATATCGCAAACACATAAAATGCTCTATTCTTATTCGAATTATTCTGGAGATGTTGCTTTTACCAGATGACTGTCGTTTAAAATGTGCCACTGCTGTACCGCCCCAACAGGCTGCAGAGGAGCGGACCGTTTACCTCGTCACATCAGGCTGAGCACAGGTGTATTTAATAAAGATAATTGACGAGGCGTGGCGGTGTTGAGTTAGTGCTATTAGTTACACCTGCGGTTTTCTTGTCATGACGACTTTAAATAGAGACAACAACCTCATAGAGTAGCACAGTCTAGAAAAACAATCTGTTAAACTGTTTTATCTGCTCATTGTAATTAACTTTTATCTAATCTTTTCTGACTAGATTTCACATTGGCCTGTTACTTGTCAACAAAAACACAATTTCTACTTGTATAAATAGATGTAGTGGAGAAAGGGGTGTTGCATCACTATCATGTAGATACAGTGGTTTGACTTATAGAACCTAAAACAGCAGTTTAACTAGTTTTATATGGTACTTTATATTAATGCTAACTTCAAATCCACATGCTAAAACTGTTAGTTTCGAGCGGGGACGGCTGTAACAGTGCATTAAAAATGTTACTACCATCCCCTTATCCCCTGAAGCCCAGTGACCAAGATATTCTGACACCTCTTAATGATGAGAATCTCTGCATTGTGTGCATGAACACTTTGCAAACTCAAGGCCAAAAGAAGTGTAGGTCAAGTACTTTGTCAGTTCAGGGGCCACAAACCCTACACCCAGGGGGCAGCGTCTACATTTTTCACATCTCTGACAGTGATTGAACCTTTATGGGACACTGGTACATTCACCCTATCTTCATAACCACCTGACAAACCTTGGAATTTCTTTTGCAAACCTCTAGAGCCTGAGTTTGGAGCTGTAGTAAACAAGGACAGATGTATCTTTAAATATTTAATCCAAAAATAACAATGGAACACTAGCTTATAGTAACCAATATTTTTGTCAGTAACTATAGATCTATCTTCATTAAAATGAACACCCCACAATGTGTCCAGTACTCAAACAGTGACCAATTAAAGTACAAAGACTTGGTGGGAACAGTCTGTGTACATGCAGTATATAGGAGGCAGGAAGCTCAGTGATTGAGCACAGTGAATTATCACAAGGCACAAAAAACCTCATATGTTTGTCTGCCAGAATATTTGTTCTCATCAGCTGGGGGACAGATGCTGTGCTCAGTGAAGATAATGGATTTCATCTTTATTTTTTTATTTTTTTAACAACTGTTTTCATACATCCAGAACAGAAAAACTATTTAACACTGAAAACTGTGGTGTTTAAGTTGGCTGGGCTTCTGTATTTGGCACTGATGAGTGCAGACCTTTAACAATACTGGCCTATATCAGATCATTAGTAACGCTCCTTTTCCACACAACTCAATCCTTTTACTGCCCGTCACACACCATCCATACATCTATCTCTCAGGTTAATGAGTTTCACACACAGAAATTTACTTAGTGTTGCAAAGAGGATTTTCAACTTACTGTCTAGATTAAATCAGCTCAGCGACAGACCACTTTGAGCTAAATTACAAAATAAGGCAGCTGCATTATGCAAAGACAAGAAACCAAAATGTCGACAGAAAGGTAGAGTCAGTTCAGTCAAGTGAAAAGTGAAAACATCTATCTAATGACATCTATGCTTAATGGAAATTCCATAATAAATCCAGGAGTCACAAAAGATCTCTGAAATGTCCAGGTTCCTTTTCTTTTTTGGTCAAACACTGCAGGTATTGTCCCTTTTTGATTTCCTTCAACATTTTTCACCTTCTGCTTGTCTGTTATTGGTGGAATAAAAAACAAAAAGCAGTGAGTGTTTTTCCCCTCTAAAATGATATTAACCGACACACAAGATTAAAATCACATGATTCATTTAACTCAGTTTGAGATGTTCATCAGCAACCTGCAAACACAGACAGAAAACAGGTTATTTAAAATAAATTAAAAAAATAAACTCATTCAGCATTGATGCACCGTCTTGGGTAGAAGAATCTACAATCTTAATTTGTGTAGAATATAATGTAGCATCCCAACAAGGAACTGCAGTGTTCACTTCTCCTAATATTTCATATCTTTACCAAATGACAGTCTTACCTGTTTCAGGCTGTATTAAACCATCTCATACTGGTTGTTGGTTATGTATCGAGACAAGCAGCAGGCCAGGAATATCCCAATGAGCTGAGGGAAAATCAATTTCACAATAAATGCTTTTCAGATTTGTCAAAACAGTTCCAATCAAATCACACCAAATGCATCTTTGCTGTTCTTGTATGAGGTGAAAAGGCTGCATGAAGCACCCACATCGGTGCACAGTCAAGCTATAAATAACTGCACATTCACTGTGTTGGCTAAACAAAGTGAAAACAGAGGTAAAAGCTGACGTTAGCATCTGAAGTAAATGTTATTTGATTCTGCACAGCTATCTGATTCAACTTTGCCCTGTTGTACTTTGTTTTATAATGTGATGCTTGATTAGAAATCAACATGTTTTTACATTTATACTGTGTAGACTGTGAGAACCACACTGTCCTTCACAACTCCTTACATAACAGACACATAATAGTTCATGATGTACCTGGAAGAATGCAATCCCAAAAGAGATCCCTGCGATGATTCCCAGGTTGGCCTCCATCACAGTGGTCACCTGTGCAAAGCAGCCCTACACACCACAAAATAACGATTTATAGAGTGGCTTTTATAATTTGCTACACACACAGCTGGGCCACTGTTGAACTAAACTGATAAGCCTGTGTGTTGCCAGTATGTATATATTAATTAAGAATGACTAATTTGCTCCACAGTATCCAGTGAACTCACCACTGTGTACACCTCATTCTCAGCCTTGCTGAGGTCTTTCAGGGTGTCTGGTGAGCACTTGGTGTTGTCTTTGCAGCAGCTGGTAGGGATGCCCCGCTCTTTAAAGTAAGCTGTGTCGCCCCAGTCAGTATAATTATCCACCCCGCAGCAATGCAGCTACACAGAAAACCACAAAATGAACAAAACTTTGTAACAAATTTCTTTATGCAACAGAAAATTGGTCAGAAAGTGTCTAATGACAAAAACAACAGTTTTTTTTTTTCTGAAATGCAATGAGTGATGTCACTGCAGATGTTTTGGATCACCTACTGGGAAAATGAATGCAGTGAAAGCTTGAAAAGTCTAAACATGCAAGAGCAGTGCTACGGTGCTTATCTGCTCCCTGTGGTTCAGTGCTGCTGACTTAGCCATTATAATGTACTTATACAAACAAGGCCTGCTTTGTGCAATGAGACACAAAACAATGTGTGACAAGAGCGGCACCCTTAATGTAACGAAAACCTCCCACTTACAGTCCTCTGGATGTTGTCAACGGCGTTGTCGTCAGTGCCATTGTAGGACGTCACAGCCTTTTGGTAGGCACTGCGCATTGTGGCTTTGATCTGGTGAATTCAAAACAAAGTAGATGATATATTTTTGTGAGCTGATGTGATTCAAATATTTTATTCTGTTTCACCAGTAACTCACCTCATGTCTAAAGATGAAGCCTGAGATTCCAGCAACAAGTTCAGCCAGGAACACCAAGATCAAAAACATGGCATACTGAAGAAACAAAACAAGGAAGAAAAACAGTTACACAAGGTCACATCTGAGGAGAATAATTCAAGGATCACTGCTCCTTAACTGACCAGTTTGAGCATCCATGGGCTGCCACGGCATGTGGCGAAGCAACCGAACATTCCGAAAATAATGATGATAGATGATGGCTCCAGTCCCGATTAGGACATATGGTGCATTGGTGCTCTCCTCAGCAGCCAGGGAGAAGTAGGCCTCAAGGTTCACCTTCCCCCACACCCCGATGGCCAGCAGGATCACGCCTGTGAACTGAAGAAGACAGCAGGGCGAGTCGGCAATGGCACCAAAGAGCAAGATGAGCAGGACTTTTAGGGCTGTGTCTGACACAAAAGCTCTGATCAAAGGTTTAAACCCAATATTACACCCCAGTACAAGAACGTTCTATCAAATCACAACTACCTGAATGAAACCTACAGTCTTTCAATGATAAATGAAGAATCACTTCATGTTTATGCGCTACAATTTGAAGACAGGTAAAACTCAAAATGTGGTACTTAGCTTAAGCACTTCCAGAATTTTTTTGTACACTTTGCTAATAAAAACTGGAACGACACAAATTTGATAGACTCAAGGCTTAACAAATAACCTGACTTGTTTCAAAATGGAGCATAAAATGGGAAAAAAAAGAACTAGCTGCAACACTAACTGAAAACCAGCCCTTCACACCATCACATTTTGCTTTGTACCAAGCAACGATCATGCATATAGCTGCTCAGAACAGTGATTTGCAGAGAACCTGGTAAGTAACAGGGATACCTTTAATTAAGAACCACAATGGGCTGAACCCACAGATGAGGTCTAGGAGGTTAATGAAGCTCTGAGACAGGATGTGCAATGACTTTGCTCACAATCACAGCACATTTGATAGTCACAAGATTTTGATTCTTATGCTGCAAACGATTTTTTCTTTAGCTGCTAACATTTTAGTGAAAACACAACTGGGACTCTCCACCAGCTGCAGCCTGTTTTATCATCTCAGCATCTTTCCCTTTAACAGAACCCACACAAGCCATTAGCCTGTGGGGAGGCATCTACTCAACCAGCCAGGAACAATAAATTGTCAGATAAAAGCACTGACCTGAACTTTGCGTTAGCAGCAGCAGTCTGAGATGGCTGTTTACTTGGTACAAAGATTAACGGGGCGAGCAATGATAAGTGTTCACTTTTTATCTGAAAACAAGGTCATGTTTATATTTTGCCCACATGTAAATGGGGCTGCAACTGTGAAGTATTTTTATGATCATTTATTCTACAATTATGTCCTTCTGTTAAATGAAAATAAAGCAATATATTTAAAAATATCTTGTTTCATTTAATACTGAAGATATTAGGTTATGTAAAAGACAAAGGAAAACATTATACATACAGCAATTAGTTGATTAGCTGCTATTTTCAGATTTCTGACACAAGACCAAATGATGAATACACAGAAAAAATGACCAACCACTAAATCAATAATGAAAATACAAAGATGGAAGAAGATGTTTAGTATTGTTCGATAATGCTTTATTTTACAGTTCCAAGATGTTCTAATCATTTGCCATAATTTTCATATTAAAATATAGGTAGGTAGGTAGGATTTTATTGATCCCACAATGGGGATGGTTCTGTGTTCCAGTAGCAAAAGTGAGCAGCAACAAAACGCCATAAGAACAAACACCACACACATACTGGATCTTGAGAAACAAATTCCAAAGTACCTAAAACCAAACAGAATATAATATTTGAGAGACAATCATGAACAAGAATGATCCTCCCACAATTAGTCTCTGAGAACAAATCAAAATACTTAAGAACAAGACAAGATATAGTATTCAAGAGATCAAGAAATCAAGGTCAAGAACATTACTACCCATCCCATTTATATACCTTTGCACCAAAAATAGAAAAAATAAATACTGTGTTTAATTTCTGAACCTACACATAAATAATGCCAATTGACTAATTGCTAACCTAAGTTAGAGTTTTTTTTACTTAGTGCACAGTGGACCAGCTTTACATTAAACACAAAAATGGATACAAAAATAAACAAATTTGATAAAGCTGTGATGTTTTATGGGTTTCCCCCACAGCTGTACATTCTGGCAGCTGAAACGTGTACTTTCGATCAGCCATGTGTTTTTTTTTTCCCTTGGATTTTGACATTTATAGGAAAAAAAAACTAATATCAATTAATAGCTCAATTGATTAATTGACTACTCCCTATAGTATACGTTGCACATTACTAAACTGCACTATAAAATGACAGGAATGAGAAGTAAATCTAACCCTGAATGTATAATTATCGCATCTGATAACTCGATAGCTTCACCGTGAGGTAGTGGAAAGTGTCAATGAGTGACACAAGCTAACAGCTAATAATTTTCTCCTTCGAGCGGCCGAACGACGCTAACGTCTGCTCCAACGGCAACGTCTCTAACGGTCAGTAACTCACATATTCAACAAGTGGTTCGTTATGTCAACACAAAACCAACGCCGCTTTGGCTTGTGGACATTTATTTAACACATTCAACTCCGTGTGTGTCCCTGTCGTGATGTGGGGAAATGATGTTAGCTAGTCCGTTTAGCCCCGCTGGCATCGTAGCCCATTGTTGCTCCTTTAGCTTGTTGTCCCCCCCGTGCCATGTCATACAACTCACCCAGAATATGAGGCTGTAGGAGATGAGGAAAGTCTTCAGGCAGGTGATGACTGGCTTCGTCTGAAGCCGTCGAGACGGCGGCGACATAGCAGTATTCACAAGATTAAACTGGAGGGGAAAAAAAGAAGAAAAGTTCACTTCACAGCGTCCTGGTATGGAGAAGGGAAAACTTCAGAGATAAATCCAAGGCGAGAGGGGGAAGTGTCGTCACCAGCGAGGATTCACTTTCCTGAAGGGAACCAGGACCTGCGTCAAGTTTGCAGCACCTGTTACGTCACAGCATCCTGTGATACCGATTTCAAAATAAAACACCCATTGAAAACGAACCAACGAACAATAATAGAGGACTTGTTGGTGAAACTTTGATAACTTGATTGGCAGTTTACTAATCTCGAAATCACATTTTAGAAAAAATTGTATGCCCCAAAAATCCAAGAACATTTTAGAAGGAAGACTGAATCAAAAAGTTGAAATTTTGCAACCACTTGAATTATAGAGAGCCATTCATGGGATCAAAATCAATTGCATTTAGGCCCTCTACCTCCAGCAGTTTAATAAAGTCCCCCTTTTCTAACACAGTGATGTTTATTTTTCCAAACATAAGTGACCACAAAGAGACACAAAATGACCATAAAGAATCCATAATCTCTCTATTGTAAAAAGCAGTCCTAACCAGACAGTTTTCTTGTAAGGAGTCACAAGCCAAAAATGTTGACAACCACTGGATTATGTAGCATATGTAGAACATTAATATTTAAATTAGGCCTAACCAAATAACTAATGGATGGCTGTGCTATGGAAGCTAAATCTCACCCACAGAACTATGATTTTGTGTCATTTTTTGACTCAGTGTACATTTGACCTCATAAATGCAACTGATTGCTATGTCAAATAATTTTTACTTAGTAGCAGACCTCATGATTTTGATTCATTATCTCATAATTAACTATCCACACTATATTAGTTTTTGTTAGTCATAATATCTAATTTTTTCCTAGAGGAAAAGTGACCTCTATATGCACCTGATTTTCTATTTCCACCAATTTGTTATTAGGCTACTATTCTGAAAGTGATTTACATTGTGTATGTTTTTAACACAAAATGTCCTGACAACAGATGAACAGTGTCAGATGTTTGTCAAGTTCTGAGACTGACAAATTACCAGAGTTATACATGGGCCGATTAAAGTTTATAGATTACATGGTAACATCCAAAGGGTTCATTTGATTTGTCGTCTTTGCTTTAAACAAACAAACATTCTCCAGTCTGGTGCTTTTAAATATGAGCCCTTGTCAAAAGAAAACACATAGATAAATGTTTAAAAGAAACTTCTAACAGTGTTTTATCTTTCAGGTCTCGATGGTTCATCCTGCAACAGAGTGACTTACACTGTCAGAACCATCTGTGCCTTCAGAGGCTCATCAGTGGACATTTCTTGCACATACAACAGTTTTGGATCTGTCACATCCAAGTTCTGGTTCAGTCCTGAACATAGTCGTCGTTGGCAGAGTCCCTCACAGCCTGAGGACCTTAGTGGAGACTCCCAGTATGCAGGTCGTGTCCAGGTCCTCGAGACAGAGACAGGAC